AAGACAGAAATCTTCATACTCACCGCTGTGAAAAATCGCCCTGATGATGGAGGCAGTATGACCTCTGAAACGTTGGTAAACATCGACCAGACTACAGAGCGCAACAACCCAGAAGACAGAAATCTTCATACTCTGATGACGGAGGCAGTATGACCTCTGAAACGTTGGTAAACATCGACCAGACTACACAGCGCAACAACCCAGAAGACAGAAATCTCCAACAGAACATACTCTTTAAACGAGAGCGAACAACTCGTTCCTTTAAAGAAAATCTTGTCATACCAGTCCCATGGCGCAGTCTGGATCTCAAATTAAGCTGCATGTCGTCTTTTGCGGTTATCATCATCACCACCCTCTTGTACTCACTGATCATGACTGTTGACTTACCTGAAACAATATATAATTCATTATATTAGTAAATAATCCACATATCAGAAAACTATTAGTAGGCAATGCAATTTGACTGAAACTGAAATTATGTTTTAACTTAAACTAAAGTTATAGACTGTTGATACGATCTTAGGTTCCCACGGCGGCGAGTATAAAGATGAATGTGCTGTGGATTGTTGCGCTGTGTACTTTGATACAAGTTTATCGACCTCTCAGAGGTGTCTGTTACCTCCGTATTCAAAGAGATGAGAAGCCACCGGGGGGGGGGGGGGGGGGGGGGGGGGATAGAGACGGCAAAGAGCTCTCGAACGTAGGTAAACGTCAACACACGGCTCAACATTCCAGATGACTGTCGTCATCATAATCATTGACTTAAGAATCTAATATAGCATCATGACGAAGACAGAAATAATAAATTATAACTGAGATCAGTGACATTAAATGTTTGTTTCAATGTCCTATTTCTTAAATAATTCATAATTAAATCAATTACAGGCCCTAATATGTCTTTCTACTAACAATTCTTTCCACACAGAAGCCACACTTAGGTCATGAAGAAAGGACTTTAGATTTATTTTAACAATTTAAAAATAAAATGTTAAGTTCTCAGTGGGAAGTCAGGGGCACATGACATTCAAGTGGACAAAAATAAAATTTAATTGAATTATTCAACGCTGATAAACCAAATTAATTCTCGCAAAGCAGTCACTAATCTTTTTAATATAAGTCTTCCTGCACTTGTGATGTCAGACTTCCATGTGATTACCTGCAGTGAGTACAGCGAGTGGATACCGGCTCAATTTAATTAACATATCCTAAAGTAACAAACAAAGACAGTACAACGAACTCTGTGCCACCCAATAATTTCCCCCTACAATCTTGGCCGTATATCTAAAGAGACATACAGTACCAGAGAAAAACATTTACATAATTGGCAAGGATCTTAAAATAACGAAAAAGACGTACTTTAACAACTGTACGTTATCGGTATTGACACTCACATATTACAGCTACAAACCTATTGTTCCAAAGTTAACCTCACTCCAGATACCACGCTTCATATAACGATAAATTATTTTCCATGAGTTTCGTTCCAAACCGAAGACATGCAAACAATTCACTTGAAATACGACATTTAGTACGTTAACAGTTAAGCCAAATCTTTAACCTATTAGATATGAAACAAGATTGAAGAATTCATTCCGTCACCGGAGTACACAAAGTTTTGACATTTTTATGTAACTTCGCATTTAAGTGCTGTTAGCTGTTCCAAATAGCTTAGATGACATTAACACCTTATGTATATAAGAAAACCTGATACATATTCCATTATCCAAAGCATCCACAACTATAATCACTTAAGAAACAAAACGTATATTTTAAATGTTACTATTTGTTTTTCTTCCCTGCTGTTTCATTTCCTATGTGACATGACAATGAACATTTTGGCTTCTTAAAAGGTAGGGAATATTTTGATTAGGTGGATGACTTAGCTTCTTAATGACTATGCCCCATGGAGTTGTATTATTGATTTACCTTTAGATGCAGAAGAAATGATGTATCACTATTGATCCCCCCTCCCCATGCATGGATTAACACGTTCATTAATTAGCTGATCAATTACGGTTAGTAATTTACGTAATGAATATCATAACACGGAAATTAAATGTTAAATAAACAGCATGTCATGAACATTTTATTACTTCAAAGGCTAACAAAATACGAACTGTCCAGAAATTTCATCCTCGGTGGAGATTATGTAATTTATTTACGTAGATGCATCAGCTATAGTATATAATATAATCATGTACCAGGTCTGTGCAAAAGATGGTAACGACGTTAATGGAGAAGTAAATCATTAGCACAACATAGGCACAAGTTTTCTTTCAAATTTACTTAAGTACAACTCTAAGGAATTCTGACGAATGTTGCAATTACTACTACAGGATTTATTAACTTTTCCAATCGTCTGATATTCTGAAAATAGCGCACATTCAGGCTTGTATATCCACTCTTTTAGAGTAACTAATTCTCTGCTAGTAAAACGTAGAAGTTCAACATCACTAGCTCGCCACTGGACACGATTTTGAGCAAGATATTTATTTTATATCTCTTTCGGAAACTGAATCTGTTCCCGTCCTCTAGATGACGGACAAAATGCAGGAATCCATTAATAGTAAGCCTATATGCTATAATCTAGTAAATTAGTTGACCTAAAACAACTTAAATATTTAGCTGTGAGGGATAGCGTATTGTATTTCACGTTAATTATATTCTGTTCACAAGAGAGGCGTGCTTCTTCTAGAGACTGCTTTTAAAAAGATTGCCCTGGGGATCCTGGGGTATTGGAACAGGAATGGGGGGGTGTGGGGTACTGTAGTTCGGTCCTCTCGCGAGGCGTTACTATAGCAATGTAAGGAACGTGACAGTCGCACATAGAAAAGCGAAAGAAATGAAGGAATGAATACGACAAGAAAAACAAAAAACTGGAAAATATAAAGAGACAAAAAACAAAAACAAATAATGTGTATTATATATACACAATTCCACTACTGCCATCAGTGTGTATCCGGATTATATAAAACATATAAATTCAAATATAAATAACCCGAGTATACTAGTTACCACGTTTATTAACCATTATCATTTAAATTTATTTACAATAAACAACATATAAACGTTTAAGAATTAAATATTTAAAAGCACAGCTATTTATTCATCACTGGGTTGTTTAACTCTAGGGTAAATTCGCAACAGGTATGAAATATTAAAGTACATTACCCACACAAGCAAAAGTTCTTGTAAAATATACACGCAAAGTAATATTCAAGATTACAGCCGACATCAGTGCATTAGACATCACCTTACCTCCTATTCCTGCTATTAGTCTAATGTAACTGTCACAACACAAAAGCTCTGAACTTCAGAAAAGACGCACAAAGCATCTGAAAGCCAGATACTTTTACGGAGTGCACTAGAAGAACATGGCCGGCGTCTGCAAATGTTTCTGGGTGCTGCCGAAGCATTATATTACCTGGCAGTAGAAATATATCAGATAAACAGGCTCCCTCCTACTTCCTAGCCTACCAACTGAAACTGAAGGGAATTATTCAGTTCAACATCAGTGTTAGCAGCCAGTCCGGAGATGGCTCTTCTGGGTTGTAGCGCCGTGTAATGTGGTAATCTCGTGGCAGTTTCAGATGTCCTTGCTGCCTCCACCATCAGGGCGATGAGTAAGTCTACCAAATTACACGGCGTTACAACCCAGAAGACGCCATCTTCTATTATCGTTATTATTATTAATGCAAATAGAAATAATAACAGGCCTTTCTATGTTTTTTTCGAGGAACTATTAACAATGAAATTCTCTGTCTTGCAAGATTACCTAAACTTAATTATTGTGTTCACGAAAGACAGCAGCATCTCGCCTCTGTTCTGAGCATGATAAATTCGATTTCCGCTCTCAGCCCCTGTTACTTCAAGATTTATTCCAGGATTATGAATGAATAATATTATCCTCCATCAACGCTTTGATCTCCCAAGCGATCTGTTCCCGTCAGATGTTCAAGTCATGATCTAGCAAGTATTTATAATTGGTCCCATGCACTCAACATGCCTGGCCCATCGAATATTCCTTAATTTTGTCATAATATTGACATTTGTAAGTTCAAATTCTGAAGTTCATCAATTTCCTCCTGCGTTCTGTTACTTAATCCTTCTTAAATCCAAATATTCTCCGCATCACTTAATTCTAAAACACTCTAAAAGTATATCTATGTTCTTTTCTTAGAAAACAGTATCAAGTTTCTCAGCCATATAAAACAGAAAAATTACAGAATTTAAATTCTCCTTTAGTTCTAAATAACACAGACTTTGATTCTTACAGCAATGGGACATAAACTGGTTGCTTTTAAGAATATACATTCAAATAACGTGAGCTGTCCCATTTAACTTGGAACAAACCACGACAGCATGACGTAGCAGCAGGGAACGAACTATCGGGAAATGAATCAGTCACAGCTCGCAAGCTAGTAGGTGGGTTCAAGTTACGTGGGACACCCTGAAGTATAGGAGGAGAACTGGTTACAATATTTATAGAGAATGAATATGTTTTGAATTCCTTAAGAATCCAAGCAAAGCTCACATGGCAGGAATATTGGTAAACCAACGATAAAGTGATCAGTTAAAATATTAAATAGAGCCTGAATAGCTATGTCAGCTGGCTAAAGACAGTGTTCAGAGGCGAAAATGAACCTTAGCCTTCAATAAATTACGAGGAATCTCTCAGTTCTGTAACTGTAAGCCTCTGAATTAGAACTCTTCTCCTTGGGGCTATGTGTAATATCATTTTTAGGTGTGAAATTTCCTCTGTAGAAATCGTTTTGAAGTCCAACGCCCCATTTTTAATTCAGTTTGCTTAACGCTTAAGGGTGTTTTTCGAAGAAATCCATGACGTAATTAGTGATTCATGTAAGTAGCCACAGCAGCAGCTGAGAATGAACCAAAAGGATCACACACACACACACCTCATGTAACTATTTTCATTAAAAATATGTTTTTTGTGTGTTATTTCGACATGATGTTCATTTGTAACTCGGCATATATCCTACCTGACGTTTCGGAGAAACTTGCTGTCACATTCTTCAGATCACTTCTTCTGGGTAAACACTGTGTTTAAATAGTAAACATAACAGACGTTTCGGACGAACTTTCGACTACCTCAACCTTAAACGAGGCAGCTAGTACCTCTAAACCTTACGTATTTTTTACTATATCTACACGGAGTGATAAAAGATTACACGTACAGTGAATACGGGCCGCCATGAGAACTCTATGCTTCGAAAAACCTTTACAGAATTGTTTTAGCAAAATGTCCAGATATTCCATACTCCAGTGCGTTTGAAGTCCCTGTCCTTGTTTCCTGCGGTCTCAGAAAACGCCTTGCACCACCACACAGCTAGCCAACTAACCAACGTCTGCTCTCCACAACGCAGCTGGAGATAACTTCATTTGTTACATTACCAACAAGCACAGCATCTCAGCGCATGGACCACTCAGTGCCAAGAGAATAAATACCAAGTTAAGTTAAGTGAGAGACTGTGTGTGTGTTTGAGCAATGACCAGAAACGGGGACAATGTATTGTATGAAGGAATACAGAGTATACAGAAATAAAATGTAGACCTCTGGTCTCATTAAAACGCCATTAGAGAGTTTTCAGTTTCTAGCTCCCCGCTTTAATGTCTGCTGAGAGCCGTTCCGTCCATTAATAGGGGAAGGGTTAGAATTTGCATTTTATAGCCGAAGGAAAACTAGTTGTTTATTACACGATAAAAACAATTCTCAAGTAAATCTAAACACAAACCTTACACCGATATTAAAAATACCATCCATAATCTCACATGGCAGTTCGACGATTAATTCGCGGCATTAATTAGGACTATCTTTTATCACACGGACGTCAGTTAAATACAACAAAGACTAAAGACTTGTTACGTGTAAAGAAATGAAAACCATATCGATATATCGCATTATAAACGGAGTCGACCAGGATTATAGACATACACGGTCTAGGACCGCTGGAGTACTTGGATCACGGGCTCAAAAACCGTTCCGGATACTTAGTGCTGGGTGAAACAGGGAAATTCTTGCTGTCACTCCTTCCAGAATCATATAAATCATCGTCTTTGGTTTAAAAATCTAAAAATTGAGAGATACGGAATTCACAATCCGACTTATTTCATGTGAGTGTTATAGAACGAATGTAGAATGAGGGTGAAGATGGCTGTATTATGGGTTGTAGCCCCGTGTAGTGTGGTAGAAGTATATCGACGTTTCAGAGGTGCTTATTAAAGTCTTAAATCAGGTAGCATAAGATAGGCGTGGAATGTAGGGTACATTAGAAAGATGAGAAATATTCTTATAAAACTTTGTCCGAAAATCTGGAGAGAAAACAGCACTTGGGATAAATTATAAGCAATTATACAATGGTTGTTAAATTGTTATACAAATTGCTAGGAAAATATTCATAAATTCAATAATAATTTAAATGAAACATGGATTTATTAGGGCTTCATAATTTAATTAATAACTTAGATAGATGATGACTATTAGCTTCTCTGCTCCCAGAAATTATTAGCGTCTCTTATTACCGCAATTACTGCGAGCATAGAATGCAGCTACACATTTTTAAGTTCAGATACCCAGTCTACCACCGAGTCAAGGATTTGAAGCGGAATTTTTTTTGTAAATCTCACTGGGAAACTAATTAACTTCCCTACTTCAATATGGAAGTCAATAAATCCTTCATTTGATTAAAACTGAACACAATTAGACGTCGAAATCGAATGAGAATATGATATGGTGCGTCCATCATCACTTTACATTCTACTAAAACAAATACACATCAGTGAGTTCTGAAACTTATCTGAAACAGCCCATCATTCGACGAATTTATGATGTTTTAAACATTAATTTAAGGCTCCAAGCCTTTCAGACTTTGACATATTTAGTAATCAAAATATGTGTTTACGACTATACGCCACGAAGGCCTAAACATACTTTAATATTATTTTATATGTGATGCGTGTTCAACGACTAAGAAATAATTATTTTACTTTTAACAAATATAAAAGTCGCAGGGAAGATTTTTAATTGTTATATTTGGTTTCAAACGCCGTTAAATTTGTTACGTTGTTAACAGTAACACGTAAGTAAACGGGAAATTTAAGTTATTTGACTCTGGTTTAGGAAAATGTTAACACAGATGAAACGTATACTAATCTAAAATCAATCTGTTTGAATGACAGATGATATTTCTGACATTACATAGATTCTCTTCGATATTCCAGAAAATTTCGGAATATTGACTCCCTAAATAGGCTGTTTATACCATCAACGATGATTTTCATGTCTCGTTCTATAAGTTGAAATTTTATCAGTAAAGAGCTTCGCTAATGAACTACAAAGCGACCAATAAAACAATAATATTAATGCCATGAACTAAAAGGTACTTGTACTACGCAGATGTAGAGCATTTACACATAGCAATCAGAACAAATATCAATTAGTATTAAGGTTTTACTTAATAAAATTCTAATCACGACTCACGAAAAGATGGAGATAATTCCTTTAGCCTCGGAATGGGTCAGTGGACTCAACCCTTGAATGAGAAGAAGAAGAAGGAAACATGCACTTCTTTCTGAAAACATGACACGCTTCAAAACAAATGGGAATAAAAATGGATCGAGACTGCCTATTCCTTGTGGCGTGGAAAAAGATGCAACAATTAATCCCATTTGCAATTCGACATCACGCCTAAATGTGCACAGGTCCATAACAACTGCTCCCTCAGCATAATTAAAACAAGAAAAACAGAATGAGAGTAGCAATAAATTTAACGATGTTCATTCAATTTTCATTACTTTCCGTTTGTGAAGGGTGATGGATTGATTGATTGATTGATAACAATGGGATTCTACCGTAGTGGGCAGTTTGATCGGATATGTATTGGGTTCAAGAGTAGCACAACGTTGCAATAAATGCATTCATTACGACAATGCTTTTCAGTTTTCAAAACCTGTTTCATATTCCGGAAATAATTAGTTCTAATCAAGATCTTACTAATTTATTTTATGCTCCAAATAGGATTTAGTTATGTACTTAAGATTCTTCAACATATGGCTCAGGTTATGACTGTCATTTTATGATTTTTTTAAACAATAAATACTCTGAACTGAATTATAGTGGCGGTCATATCGAATCCTGGGATAAAAAAGAGTCTATCCTGAAGAGATTCTGCAATTTCCGTTAGCCTTTAAGGAAAATTACAGGATAATGTATTTTCTAGTATCCCGCACTATGTAATTAAATAATCTGGACTGACATGCATAGATATTTTTAAGAACCTAAAATCTAATAATGTCTGCTCTGTCACAAATAATGGATTTTTGTAATAACTTTCAAAATAAATCCATAAAGTTATTCATGCTAATTAATGTATTTATTAATACATTTTCAATATATACTAGTTTTTTTTATTATTTTTTATTATTCTGTCTGACGACAGGTCCATATATTATGAACAGGATCCTTCCATCCTCTTTCAGGTTGCCAGGGCCCTACTCATACATACATACATTCTTGGCAGATGGTCAGAAGTGGTTTGCCATTACCTTCTTCTGTGTGTGTGAGTGGAGTAATTGTTGGGATGCCACGGAGAAACCGGGGAAGCCCCCGGAGAAAAACTCCGTGATGCCTAGACCACGGCCTTGCCTAACACAAGTTATAAATCTGAACACCACTGGGAATTGAACTCGGGACCCCAGGATTACAAGGCTAGCGTTCTGAATGCTAGACCACCGTGGCGGCTTATATACTAGTACGGTTCTTTAATACAGTCACCAGAAAGAATTGGACGTTTATCTACAATAAATGAATATTATGTTTAATGAATCATGAAAAGATCTAAAAACAAAGAAAAACCAGAAAATTGTTTATTTAATTTGAATACGCCACTCCCTACAAGCTATCGTGTATAAACGTCTTACCACACATATATCAACCTTAAGTAGAATTTATCGTGTTTATGCGTGGTCAACCGAAGCAAAGAGATGAAGTACGGTAGATGGCATTCAATACGAAAATCATAACTGTCCTTAAATCATAAATATTTATGAAATTCAACATCCCAGGAATTACATTCTGCCATATATTTATTTGCGTATGCAAATTTCATTGATTCCATTTCCTACTTCAAGTATAACAGAAGTAAGTTCAATACAGGGAACATTTGTGGTGAGTTCGAAGGACCTGTCAATGTCCCTTGGTGCGAATTCACTATTGACAAACGCAGAGTGTTCACTAATTAAGAGTAACGACTTGCTGATTACAGATTTGAAAATAAAAAAAAACTTAACAACCGCACACAGAAGTGGGAACTAATGAAATTACTTGCACTGCGTGTGTACACTCCTGCGTTAGTAATGCCGCATCAGTCAGTAATAATCACGAGGTTCAACCGGCCATGGGTCTGATTAATCCCTGCGGGGTTTTCGTATCACTGCGGATTAAGGCTTCGGTCCAACATACGCCACCACTTTCTTTTCCACAACCGCAGTGTCCACCTCATTTCAGTATTATGAAATTTATGTTTTATGCTCCACTGTTTGGCCCTAACCACTCCTACAACAAGGGCAGTGACATCTTACGGACATAAATTGATACAAGAGACTAATCCCTTAAAGCCCGTTGGTAACTATATGTACCACCAGATTTAGCAGTCAGCAAACTGAATTTTACCCACAGAGTGTATATTTAGGCTGTGCGTTTGGTATTATTCTCAAATTTAATTTACTTTACTTTTACTCAGCATAAAGAGACATTATTTTCTAAAACAATATTAACCTAATTATTTCTGTAAAGAAAGAAAATTATATTTCTTTGAGTTAGGGACTAAATTTTTAAAAAGTAGTTACATAACATACATACATTCTTGGCAGATGGTCAGAAGTGGTTTGCCATTACCTTCTTCTGTGTGTGTGAGTGGAGTAATTGTTGGGATGCCACGGAGAAACCGGGGAAGCCCCCGGAGAAAAACTCCGTGATGCCTAGACCACGGCCTTGCCTAACACAAGTTATAAATCTGAACACCACTGGGAATTGAACTCGGGACCCCAGGATTACAAGGCTAGCGTTCTGAATGCTAGACCACCGTGGCGGCTTATATACTAGTACGGTTCTTTAATACAGTCACCAGAAAGAATTGGACGTTTATCTACAATAAATGAATATTATGTTTAATGAATCATGAAAAGATCTAAAAACAAAGAAAAACCAGAAAATTGTTTATTTAATTTGAATACGCCACTCCCTACAAGCTATCGTGTATAAACGTCTTACCACACATATATCAACCTTAAGTAGAATTTATCGTGTTTATGCGTGGTCAACCGAAGCAAAGAGATGAAGTACGGTAGATGGCATTCAATACGAAAATCATAACTGTCCTTAAATCATAAATATTTATGAAATTCAACATCCCAGGAATTACAT